TCATAGACACCAGAAGCCGTGCATTCAGTATTGCAGACCCATTTATGTGGAACTCCCTGCCAGTTGCGATCAGGCAGGGGCCTCCTCCCTGCTGAACTTCAGGCATGTGACTAAAAACCATTGTATCCCAGCAGGCATTTTAATAAAAGTTTCTGTTTTTGTTATTGATTTTAGTTGATTTAATCCACTGTATGCTTTTTAAAAATTTTACATACACCACTTGGAAACTTGGGTGAGTCTATTGAATCCAAATTATAATAAATTATAAGCATTAAAAATCAACACCTACATTTAATGAGAACATGCTACGAAGTACTTGAATGAATCTCATGTTCCTCAGATCATAGTTTGGAAATGCCCATCCTCGGGCACTTTTTCACATAGAAGACTATAATAAGTGCATGTGGTTAGTCCCTCTGCCTCCCATGCAACTCCCAGGCTAAGGGTGGCAGTGCAGCATGTCAATAGCAGCTGTGAGAACTGCTCTCTCTCTCCCTCTCCCTCTCTCTCTGCCCCCCTTCTCTGTCTAATCTATTCCACATGGTTTCACTCACCAGCCCTACACAGATAGAAGCAGTTTGTAAGTCAAAAGCTGGTCATCCTAATGGTCACTGAGTATAGCTGGCAGACTCTTCGTGCACTGCAAGAAAGCAATACTATATAAGTGTGTTAATTCAATGCAAATCAGCAGCTACAAGACAACAGAGCTAACAGACCACACATTATATGCCATTCACACCAGCTGCACGGTTTTGATGGTTAACTGGGGGGAATGGAACTAGAGGGAGAGAAAGGAAAGCAAGTATCTCTCTCTCTCTCTCTCTCTCTCTCTCACACACACACACACACACACACACACACACACCAGTTCTAGTCTGAATAGATTTAATCCCTAAAGTGGATAATGTTTTAGCAAATTGTCCTCAAGCTTATAAGGACCGGGGGGGGAGACTGATTTTAGGGGAAAGAACCAAGTCTGCTTCACATTTTCCAGTGGTCAGGTCATAAGAAAGGCAAACAAAAAATCAGATTAGGGAGGGCAAAAAAAATTTAAGTGACTTCAACAGGTTGAAGTGATGTTGTGGTCGCAACAGGATCACACCAGCAGCCAGTTCTAGACCTGACCCTCCAAGTGTCCCTATTTTCCAGGGATGTCCCTGATTTAGAGAAGCCGTCCTCGTTTCTGATTTGATCTAGGAATACCCTGCTTTTCCTTAGGACATCCCTATTTTCATTAATCACCTATTTTCCTATCTTGGACTGCAGCTCCGTCCTTGCATCATTTATCCTGTTGACAGACCAAACCCAAACAGGGCTCACTAATGCATCTGATAGTGAGTTGGACTGTAGTCCACAAGAGTAGTCCATCCCATAATAAATATTCCACTCGTTATGGAGCCACAGCTCTTTATTCGTTTTTGCTCTTACAGGATAAACTGGCTACATCTCTGGAAATTGCCCACATACTAAAGTATGTTTTTCTCCTAAAACCTGATAAAAACAGCACTGTTTAGAATTACAACCATACAGCTCTGGAGAGTGACTCTGTGCTGGGTGTTGGTTACACAGCAAATCTATGTCAGTTTGAGAAATGGTATGTGGTTGGGTGTGGGCAATTAGTGTGGTGGAATCCAGGAACTGCTTTGCCAACATATCTCAGTTTGTCACCAGAACTACTTAGGGGACCCTGTTTTCAGTACAAAGAGTCAACCTGGTGTTGAAAGAGTGAAGTAACAGTACAGACAAGTTTAACTCTGAGCATGAGCAAGATTAATTTCACTCACAAGCCTTCCATCACTCATCTAGGGGGAAAACAAGACAGAAATGGTCCTTCTCTGTCCCATCCCTTCCCCCCAGTACAACGGTTTGTTGGTCCCCATTATTTTGTCCTAAAAGTTCACTGTGATGCTATCCATAGCTGCCAACCTTCCCTTTTTTTGCGGGAAATTCCCTTATTTCAGCGCCGTTTCCCGCTGCTTCCCGCTGCTATCCCGGATTGTTAGATATCCGATAGACTGTCTCCGGGACAGGTGAGGCTGCTGATCCCTTATTTTCAAATCTGAAAGTTGACAGCTATGATGCTATCTAAGAACCAGAATCTGCTAACATATTTCATGGTCCATGCAGACCCTCTCAAAAGAGATGATCCTGTGTGATTTGATTTTCCATTTATACCGCTTTTCATTCAAATGAATTCCAAAGTGGCTTACAAACATTAAATAATAATAGCATGATAGAACATAATAGAGCATCACAAATACAATGAAGCAATTACTATCTATAAAACACTGTTAACAAAGCAATGATTAAAAAATAAGCTAAACCTCACAATTAAAGCAAATACCATATTATAATCAATACAGCATTTATAATCTATAAAACAAAATGAACAGCATTAACAAAATAGCAATCAAAAGACAAACTAAGCACTGTTAAATTCATACACACACTCCCATGACTCAATCTTTCACCCCACTCAGCTCATTAAAATACACATGGACATAATGACCATGACAGCAACTCCTTTCTGAAGGTTCCTCAGGCTGGAGGTTGACCAGTATAGGCAAAACCATCAGCCTCCTGATGGCAAACAGAGTCTCTCTCCTCTCACAGTTCTCCTCTAGAAACAGCTCCCTTATGAAGGCTCTTAGGGCTGAAGGGTGAGGTGAGGCGGGTGAAAAAACCATTGACTAATGGCCAACACAGTCTCTCTCCCCTCAGGAAATGGCTGTGGGGCATTTAAATGAATTTGTCCCAGGACAGTAGATTCTCCAACAGTTTTCTCAGAGGTGGGGCTCACCTTAGTCAAGACAGTAGCACTGGTTGTTTCCCCCCGCCTTGGTTTTTCACCCTTAAATCACAAGTGGAAACAACTACTTTGTGGGTTGCATGGCTACCATTTTCATCTTCTACAATTCATCAGATCTAGCAACATTCCAGGAAGGAAGAAATGATGAAGAAAATGCAGAGAAAATTCTGCAAAAGTGGCGTTCTTTTTCCAAGGGGGAAGAAAGAAAATTCTAAAAGAATCTTCTGATAAATTTCATCTGAGCTTTAGATGTAATAAAGCTAATCATATAAAGAAGATAGTCAGATCTGGCCCTTGAAAGCATACAGGTTCTTCCAAGAAACAAATGATCAAAGACATTGTTCTTTGAACTATAATTTATATGTGCCAGAAAGATCATATATAGAGAAGCTCTTGGTTCCTGCTCCGTGACTGTGGGATTACTTTTCCATGATAATATGCCAAGACCTGAGCTTGTGGCTCAGTCAAAAGAATTGTTAGTTTTGGCCTGGCTTTTTAATGACAGGGACTACATCATTTAATAGGTGGGCTGTCATTGGGCAGGAGGGTTGTCATGTGTAGATATTCCTTACTTATTTTTAAATACCTCGGTGGTGCAACTCCACACACACTCCAAAACAAGGTGAGGCAGAAATTTTCAGTTAAAACAGATAATTAAATAAAGCAGTTCTTGTGGAGCCTGATCCCATGCTGTCAGGTATGCCTAAGCCATCCTATCCAAGTATTTAATTAAGAATATTTATATCACACCTCATCCTACAATGAGGGTGACTTCCAGTCATAAGTAAAACCACAACCAGAGCCAAAAATGGGGCGGGGGGCTGGGGGAATATCACTAAAACGACTAAAAAAATCACTAAAAGATTGCAACCTCCCAAATGGTAGTGATTAAGCATGCAGCTCAACTGATGCCAGCTCTAAAATCCTTTTCGGAGTAAGAAACTTTTGCCTTCCTTTCTATAGCCACTGAAGATGTGCTTCAGGAAACTACCCCCAAGAGGCCAAAGGGACATATTACTCTGTTTAGTATCAGCGTGTTAAAGGGTTCCAGCAGCCTTGCCTACAGCTTTAAAAACAATGATCTTAAATGGCTTCTATATTTCGCAATAAGTTCATTTTCTTTGTAGCTCTTTTACTTAGTTCCATACATTTCCTTCTCCTTTATTCTTCTTAATGAGCTCTACTTTATTTATGTACATCGGAAATTTGCCAAAGCCATGTTCTCAAGTTCAACCCGAAACAAAACATTCCTTCCCCTCTTCTCCCCCCCCCCACTACAAATTCATAAAACACCACTCTCCCCCTTTCCCTTTATTATGTTAAAAAAAAATGTTTTGTGTGGAAATTATCAGGCCGTTTTGCATGAGTCGCTTGGCTAGGATCGAGGCAGTGTGTGCCGCCGCTGCCAGATTTCAGAAAGATGAGTAAACTTCTGAATCTGATAGCGTGTGCAGCAGAATACCAAAAAGGGGGCCTCTTTGTTCTCCATAAACAGAGTATTTACTTTGATCTGGTCAAATGAATTAATGAAAGGAAATGACACACATTCAAATTTTGTGTGTGTTCAGGCGCATGAGACGGAAATGAGTTTAATTTATCGTAGTTGGGTGTTTGGTTTGGGGCGTTTTGTCCTTTTCCAAACGAGAGGCGGGGGAAAGGCATCTTCCTCCCCTCTCCCGAAAATATGGCCTCATGCGCCATAAAGCAGATCTTTTCTCCGCTTAAAAGCCACCTCATAACACTGTATATTGCCATGTATATGCAAGCAGTTCAGAGTTATTACAAATCTCAGATAGGGAACTATTCACTTGATCTTTGCCTCAATCCTATTAGGACCCCCCTGGAGTTCCGAATGGATACCAGACTGTCACAGCACTGTTGCTGTGACTACCTAGTCTTTATAGAACAAGAACAAGAAGTGATAGTGATTGACAGACCTTCCTTGCCCTACTATGTAACACAAAGGGAAACAAAATGAAGAGGAAGTGAGGCTCTTATTATAGGTTTGATGCTTCTTAACCTTACAGAACCTTTACACCCGGTAAATGTCACCATCTGAACGCAAAGCTTCCAAAGGCTAGAGTAATGTTTTGGTGTCAACTGGGGGGGTGGGCGGCGAAGGAAGGAATCACCCAAGCCAGAAACAGATTATTAGCATTTACTTAGAACTGATTGGAATGCAGAAATGCTGACTTGTATATGACTGAGCAAGAGTGGGGAAAAGACCTTAGGGCTTAAAAAAAAACTCCACCTATTTTGCCTCACACACATGAGGACTCCTGCTGAAGTTAGGAGCGCTGATCTTTGGGTAAGATGAGCAGGGTTTGGCCCCTGGTGTAAATGAATGAGAGGCTAGCAAAGAGGGGAATTGTATACGGCCCTATTTGCCCTGCATGAGAAAGGGAAGGAATTTGATAAATCCCACCATATGGTGCCATACTGTATCTTGATGGCTATAAATAATAGCCTTTCTGTTTCAGATTTGCTTTTGTTTTTCTTGGTAGCAGTGACAGATTTCTAGCAGTGGTGGTTACGAGAAGCACAAAATGTAGTTTGTTGGCTTTCTTCTCTGTTTTTGGTGCAACATCTAAAGACACGCGAGCTGAAGTAAATAGGATGGGAAACTTTGTATTCTCTGAGCAGTAAGAATTTGGAAATCTAGATGAGAGAGAGAGAGAGAGAGAGAGAGAGAGAGAGAGAGAGAGAGGTCAGTAGTTTTGTCATTGTTTGAGTTAATTTGAATTAATCTTGCTTACGAAAGATTGAGAGAAAATGGCTTTAGGATACTGGATTACTGATCTCAAAAGAAGCAGCAAATTTCATGTGGCATTATCGTAAATGCTGGTTTGATGCGATGAAAGACTCCAAACCATGGGAGACAGCTTTTTTTTTGCATCAGCTTAGAAGATGGATCAAATCTTGCTTCTTTTTCACTTTAATGATTATTTTGTGTTGTACAGAGGGGCAGAAACTTCACAACTCCTCTTAATAATAAACTTTCAAGTTGAAATTCTTATGCAGTCATTTACTTACTTTCCAGCACTGAGTTTCAAAAATGTTTGATCAAATATTCATACAGAATCCAATATGCCAGGGTGTTGGTGTAAGGAATATTCTGGGTGTTACCTCAAAAAAAAATGTAACAAAAAGTTACAGTAAGAAATAGTTGCTATGTAATGACAGTATCTAAAGGGAATCTTTAAGGTAAAAAATGGTATAAGACAGTGAGATCTTACTACACTTGTAGGAGATCAGCAGTTGATTTAAGAGGTGTTAGGGGTGCTTACAAAAGATTTAAGTTATAACTTTTTAGACAAATGGCTTTTTGAAATAAGAATTAAAGAAGTTTTTCGTTACTGCAGTTTTCTTCTTTTGCAATTCTCAGCCATAAGTCAGAATAATAGGCTAAATACACATCCAGAATGATGCATATTAGTAATATATTAATAACGTGAAAGAAATGTGCTTCTTTTCACCAAACCAATGCTCTCCCCCTGTAAGTGCAATTTCAGAAATGTAATAAAACTGTCTCCACAACTATTTAGATAACTTCCGTAAGATTTTTGCGTTTAACTTCCTCTTTCTTCTCTCTACTCTCACTGCCCCTCCTCAAGTACATTATGAAATAAAATACCCAATGCATGTTATTCAACAACCAAAAATGAACCCGGTGGTTCTTAACCATAATATATTTCAATAGGCAATCTCTGCATCCTTTCCATATCATTCTTTATAAACTTAATATAATGTGATGCTTTTATGAGCTTAGAAACAAAAGAGATTATGTGCTCTCTTCAGATCCTGTTACAATTGTCTTACAACAAAAGACAAACCATAGGAGAAAAATATTCATGAAATGTATAAGACAAGCTGTGTTGGATAAAAGAAGAAAAACAAAACTAGAGACTGATAAAATGTACTGTTAGTATTAACTATTTGACAAATTGTTACAGAATGTTCTTTCCTCAGCAATGAAAGGCACACAGACCTTGCAACCTTATTAAAACCACAAGCCAGAAATTTAAAGTACTAATTGTTCATTAACATTTCATTCATATTTACTGCAGTTTATAAACTTTTTGGCAATAGAGGCATTGTCTTTAATCAGTGTGTATTGGACTCCAGATGTATCTCCCTCATCATTAAATAATAAAAGATAAAATAGGCCCTTTGTGAACAAGTTTTAAAAGAGAACAAAAATGCTTAAGAGGGTTTTTGTTTGTTTCCTTTGAAAACAATTCAAGGTAATTTGAGGTAATTCTACAATACTTCTTGCTAGAACTGATGAACTGAGTTTAGATAAAATTTAAATAACAAGGAAACTTTTTATTTCCAAAAAATAGTAATAATAAGTAGGTTTCTTATATTTGAAAGCTCTGTATTTCTTTGTCAGATTTTTGATAGGAATATATGTGTGTGTGTGTATGAATTTACAAAATGGTTTATTCTTCTTTCAAACAATTCACAGGAACTATTATAATTATTTGATCACAGATTTAAAATATATTTCTTTCCATTTTGTCCTCGTTTACCTCATACCTTTTATTTTGGACATTTTACTTTTCTACTGTGTGCTATTTCAGTTTCCCAGGATATATAGTCAGCAGAAGTTTTCCTATTCTGTCTATGTACATCTTTTTAAAGCATTTGTTTCAAAGAACAAAAGTACTGATATAATGTAGTAAAAAAAAAAACCTAAGTTAGTTAATATTCCGTCAGTTCAGTGCTAATAATAAACCTCTCCCTGTCTTCAAAACATAATAATAAGATAATGGCTCTTTAAAAAAATTGTTATTACACTTCGGAATTCTTCTCTTGCATTAAAGCAACATCATTAAAGCTGTGACATTTCCACTCTGTTTAGCTATCTTATCTCTCACTGTTTGTTCTCAGGGAATTTGCTCTGTTTTTGTGGGGGTTATGGAAACTATTAAGGTTAAAACTTGCCACGTCTGGTGTCTGCCCCCACCACCCACCCCAGATCACTTTTCAGGCCTAGAGAAGCTTATTGGAAAGCCGAAAGCAAGCAGGTTCTACTTTTGAAATGAGCAGTGAGTTTGCACCACCTTCTGGCACAATGAGATACTACTACAGCTGATTTTTCAACATGGAGCTGTGTTGTTACCGTCTTAAGCAAAAAACAGTAAGGTAATTTTTTAGAGATGTAAGGCCGATGTTATATTCCCCGTATGTTTCTGAACGTCAGTTGCTGGGAAACACAAATGGAGAGTGTTGATCTCAGGTCCTGCTTCCAGGCTTCATAGGCATCCAGTTAACCACTGTGAGAACAGGATGCTGGACAAAATGGTCCACAGGCCTGAGTCAGCAGGACTCCCCTTATATTATTTTCTTCTCCTAGAGATCATGCCTATTAGAGAAAACAGCCCCCAAAAATTATCCGCCATTTCTGAAGGCAGTGAAATTGGGAGCACCCTTCTGCCAAATATTCCCTGAAGGGAGAATAAATTCTCCAGATTTGGGAAGTGGGCACGAGTTATATTTGCAACCATCATCAAAGCGACTTACAACAATAAGGTGCAACTTAGAACTGCATGCTCGTTTTCCGCTTGTGTGGACGGTCACCCCCCCCCCCCGCCCTCAGTGTAGGCAGCAGTTAAAGACAGCATCCTCTCCCTGAAATTTGAAGTCATACAATCCATTCTACAGCTTCCCAACAAATCTTCCACGACCTCATTCTGCTACATGTATAGAAGACGCCTCCATTGAAACAGAGCTGAATGCATTGGATTTCCTCTTTTCCCTTGCCTCCATTTTCCTATGCCCTTTTCTTGTCCCCTCTCAGCTGAATTTTGAAGTGTAAGCTTCCTAGGGCTGATCTGGGGAACCTCAGGCCTCAGGGCCAAATGCAACCTTCCAGGTGCTTCTATCAGACCCTTGGGACTCTCCTCAGGACACCCCCCTTACTGGCCCTCCTTTGCACCCTACTTAAAGTGTTTTCACTGGAATATGCCCTTGAGGTCTGTTAATGCTTCTTGCTTGCCTTGATAGAACATGAGCAAGTGTGTGTGTGTGTGTGTGTGTGTGTGTGTGTGTGTAAACTAGCCTACTTCAGAAAGGTAAAATTCCCATCTGCGTCTCTGTCCATGTTTGCTTATGCCCCACCCTTCAATGGCATGTGGCCCCTTCAGCCTAAAAAAGATTCCCCATCCCTTCTCTGGGAAAAAGGCCTGTCCCCTTGTTACTTTGCAGAATTAAAACACCATGCACATTGATGGTGCGCTCTCTCTCTCTTTTTCTACACACACACACACACATATAGTATTTTTCCATTTATATCTAGCAACCTGTAGCATTATTCAGCTCTGGTTTGTCAAGGGTTTTTGTTTTTTTTAAGTTCAGCTCTTTACTTAGGTTCTCATGCAACATTACTAGCAAGGAACACAAGCAGAATAAACTTTGCAAGAGCGGAATTGCTGGTTCAAAATAGAGTTCAGCTCCACTCCAGGCTCATTCCCAGAAGTTAGAGAACCAAAAGCAAAAATGGTTTTTAGAAGCATACTAGAATTTGCAAATGTAAGTCAACAGAAGATCTTACATTGAACCTTAAAATGTGGCAGTGAGGTGTTATTGTTTTGCTTGGGCTTTAACTTTGAGGAGGCGACTCTGATTGAACTTTGGTATCTAAATGCCTCACCTGATTTTATTCACCACGAGCCAGGAAGAAGAGGGCCACTTCACAGGAGACTGCCACCGTGTGGCAGTGGCAGATCTTGGAGTCTCAAATTTCAGTGGTGCTGCTCTTTTCAGGAAACAGATACTCTTTCTGTCACAGTGGCCACACACCTCTGCTGTTCACCGGCTGGTAGGGAATCAAATTCATGTGTACAAGATATTAATATTTACTACATTTAGGGCTCTCTGTACCTGTCTGTTCCAAGGTGTGGGGAGCTGGCTTTGGTTGCTCAGTGGTGTAAGAAATGCACTTCGGACATGGTCAGAGGTACTATTACTGTTTTGCAAGCTTCAGAAACTGACCATCGCTCTACAAACAGGGCCTTGGGCCTGATCCAGAAACTCCAGCTGGTGCAAAATACTATAGCGAGACTGTTGATGGGGACAGACTGCCACCAGCACATAATTCTGGTGCTTAAAGGCTTGCACTGGCTGCCCATATGCTACCTGGCCAGGTTCAAGGTTCTTGTATTGATGTACAAGACTCCAAACAGCTTGGGTCCAGGCTGCCTTAAGGACTGCCTGATACCTTATAGCCCTGCCCAATCTCTGATGTCTTTGCGAGAGTTGCTGTTAATGAACTGGCAGGCATTTCAAGTTTTTATGATGTTATGG